TATGACGACGAGAAAAAAAAATGTTGAACGTCTATTCCAATTTCTAGTTATTTTGACTTTACAGTTTTCGGAAAAATAAAATGGAAGCTAAGAGTGCAATTGAATTATTTGCAATACGAGGAATATATCCATGCATATAAATAAGGTGTTATCTGGATTAAAAAATGTTCAATTTGACATTTCCTTCACATTCTATTTTATGGTTATTTATGTATTGCATTTGGGTTTTCTTCGAAACGAGGTTTATTTTTGAGAAGTGCTTTATAAATACATACAAACATACATACATAGCCGCATATATACACATATATATATATATATATATATATATATATATATATATATATATATATATATATATATATATATATATATATATATATATATATATACACACACACACACACACACACACACACACACACACACGTATATTGTTATCTATGTCGAGATCAATATCGATTCGACATTTTTAAGGTACATTGGATATAATTGCAAAGAATGATGGACCCCAGTAAAATGTTTATTTAAGATATATCAATATGCCAAAAGTTAGTTTTACAATTAATAGAGTAAAAAAAAAAAAAAAAAAAAAAACTGTAGGAAGACAGTTCCGATTGTGTCAAGTAATGAATAGGCAATGTAAATAAAAATCAAAGAAAAGTGTAAACAAGGAAAATTATAAAAGTTAAAAGGGGAGCATCGATCATTTTTTCGTCCAAGGAAACTGAATCAGGTTAGGAGATATTCTTTATTTTTCTCAGTGTCTATTGCTATTTACGTTGTAATATGCCACCTGTTTAGGTTAAAAGGTATTAGCTTTATTGGTACACATTCAACAGAAATAAATTCAATCCACCCCATGAGCCTTAAAACCCTTAAGTCATGCTACTCACATTAAGTTTAGATAAGTCAGAACTAGGTTTTCTTTGAATTTCCTTCAGATCCAAAACTCCAGGTGGTGGCAGCTTTACCGAGTTAACATTTTCATCATATGTATTAGAATTGATATGGACAAACTGGCAACAGTAATTTATTATTTTTATTTCATATATTTTAAATGCAATATGACTTACATATACATATATATACATATATACATATATATACATACATACATATATATATATATATATATATATATATATATATGTGTGTGTGTGTGTGTGTGTGTGTGTGTGTGTGTGTGTGTGTGTGTGTCGCACTAAACTACTGAAGCAAACATCCTGCTGTTATTCGTTGAGGATATATGAGAAAATCTAGACTTCAGATTTTTCAGAATGTCACTGTTTCGCAATCTGAACCCCAGCATCGCCCACTTCAAAGTCATCTTCCATCTCGGGTGAAGCTGTAGCATCTCCACGCATCCCAAGAACCAGAGACCACTCACAGGGTACTCTCCGCATCTGGTCTGCGTATGTGATATGTCTTAAGGAGGTTTGTGTGACCCCCTTTTCTCTAGCTTGCAACCTAGATTAGCAATTACATGATTAATGTCATTTATTTTCACTAACCCTTTAAATGGACCCTGATATTTAGTAGTTAATGGTTTTCTAACAGGTAGAAATGGGGAAATTTCCCCGAAACCAAATCCTCGTTCATCTGCCTGTGCACTTCCTAAATTCTTGCGATCAAATTCTTGAATATGTTGCAACCTGGTTTAATTTTTACGACATAATCACTTAGAGACCCTGTTTTTTATGGGTCCGCAGATTTTAATAACAACAGTAGCTTTAATAGTTATAATATTACTTCTGACAGTGAAAACAATAATTCTATTATTATAATTATTATTAATATCTATTAATATCATTAGTGTTATTACTGGTGTTGACATTACTTTTTTCACTACTATTATTAGTAGTATCATTATTGTTATTATTCTTATTCTTATCATTATGATTATTATTATTGTTATTATTATTCATTATATTCATCATTATCAGCAGTAGTAGCAGTAGTAATTTTTGTTGTAGTAGAAATAGTAAGAGTATCATTATCAATATTATTATCATTATCATCTTCATTGTTAATTTTGTTTCAATTATAATCCTTATATTATGACTATAAGCGTTATTATCATAATTGTTGTTTCTAATGTTATTATCATTATCAATATAGTTAACATTTATATTATTAGTAGAATTACAAATAGTATTGGTATCACCATCATCGTCACTGCCATTAATATTATCATCTATTTCACAATCATAACTTTCATCATCATGGTACTTATTCCATCATCACCATTATTAGCAAACCTGACATACAATGACATATTCCTCTCAATCATTCAGAAACAAAAGACATTTTAATACCGGTTCATAACAACAACTGAAGTGAGGGTATTGTTGCACTGCACTCGGGTCGGTTGCCATGGGAACCGAACCGCTTTCGCAACACTATTTCCGACACTGAGGCAGGTCCGGGCTGTCGGTGGATATATATCGGATGAGATTATATATTTCTCTTTGTGTGTTTGGGAGATTAGCATGATGCG